AACGGCTTTCTCATGAAATGTTCGCATGGCAAAAGCTGGTAAGATACCCAAAAAGAGACATCCTGACACATTTATTACCAGTGTGTACTCAGACGGGTGAAGCAGTTGCTCCAGAGAGAAGCACATCTTCCCTCCCCATCCCCAGAATTTGGCTGAGACTCTAAAGGGCAGGCCAGGAAGGCATCTGCGTTCGAGCAAACAAGCATACCGGACTTATCTTGCTCTTCCAGAGCGCTGCCGAACAGCCCCAGTCATTTTCAAAGTCACTCGTAGTAAATAGGGCACTCTCCAAATTTCCGGACTCCGGAAATCGCGGGGCTGCAATTAATTTTCGCTGCGGTTTTGCAGCCGCGCTTGAAAGGCGGAGGGAACAATCAATTCCCACCTGCACGTTTGGTAGCTGCATAAAAGGAGATTTCGGAACAAACTTATCACAGTCACTTGTCTGTCATCCTTCCCTAAAGATTCCCATTTGCCTGCAGAGAGGGTCTCGTGGTAAGGAGAGGGCCTGGATTAGAGATAACCAAAACAAAGCTTTGACTTCATTCGTTCCTCAATTTGGTCCCTATACCCATATATGCATGGCACTCAGAAAATATCACACAGCCTAAGTACTGGCTATCTCTCTCTTTCTGCCTTTCCTCTCTCTAACAGGCTGCCCTCATAGCACAGTGCCTGTATCAGTACTCATGCATGTTTTACTCTTATCAGTCATCGGTGCTGGTGTCTGGGTGTGGTGTCGTCAGTGTCGGGAGCAAGGCGATCTACCAAACTCTAAGGTCTAAAAGACCAGGCACACCTGCAGTGAACAGCGAATAATCAGCCACAAAGCGGGTGACTCAGTTTACATAAATGATCGGTTATTTCCCCTCAATTCCAGCCAGTGGGGAAAAAAAAAATCTGCCGGCACTTCCGTTCCTGGTGACACGCCACGGGACACCTGCAGGGGGGTGGCCGAATGGCCTGTGAATTGTCCTGGACCCAGGCCCTGCCTCTCAAGCAGACTTATGGGGAAGCGAGTAATTGTTTACTGGGCATAGTAATGCACACGGCCGTGGCAACTGGCACGGCACAGCATTTAGCCAGAAGATCTCGTAGCATCGCAGACTCCACCGCTGTCGACCCATCGCAACAAGCACCGAGACACAGTCACATTATGTATTTCACAAGCACGCTAGCGAGGAACATGGAATGGAGACAATTAGCCGACTTCATCATCTGTATCCTGCTCACCGTCTCAGTTTAACTCTCACGTCTTCTTACTTTTACAGAAAAAGCTTAGACTTCAGGATTTAGCCTCCAACGTCATACTGCTTCACAGGAAATCTGCAGCCTTTGTAAGGATAATGAATCAAAGTGACTATTTACTCTCCAACATCTATAGGCCGGCGTGCCTGCAAATAACAGCTGGAACATCTGTTGGGCCTGCTCCGTTTCAGGGGGGAGCTGAATAGAGGTGACACCAGGGAGTTATTGCCATTTTAAACTGGCATGTAATCTGCACAGATTGCTCATGGCTGTCAGAGGTGCTTCGGTGACGGGACAGAGGGTATTTGCTCCATAGCAGCTCTTCCCCCTCAGTCTAGCATGATTCCAGGTGGAGAACGAGAGCCCTGCCGTTCTCCATTGGCACCATTTCCGAGTGACAGCATTAGCACTCGCTGCTCCCCAGGGATTTTTCTAACATTTCTGCCAAACCGCCACCCACGATTCCGGTGTGTGTGGTTGGCGACGGATAGATAGGGTTCAAGCCCATGCTTAGGGAATGGAAAAAGTACTAGTGCAATTACTATGTCTCAGGCGATGTCCAGCCAGCATCACCAGCAAGCGCCCGATTAGGTGCAAATCCGTACCTTTGATATCATCGCCTCGGGTTGACCTCTCTCTGGGGCATAGGTAATGTGAGAAATTTGTGCCACCACCCGTGAGTTCTGGGAGAAGAGTAGCGGGCAATTACATCTGCCCAAGACCAAACCAGATTCGTTTGATAGGCGTTTATTCTCTGCGCCTCAGGGAGAGTGACCGCATTACACCGTTGGCCTGTGAGAGACCGATACTCGCTAAAAGCCCCCGTGTTTGTCCCTTAATGGCCGCTGTTTTTCTGAGATTAAAGGGAAACGGTCATTTGGAACCATTCCGCAGTTGGATAACTGTTGCTCCAGCGACTGCCAGGTCCCCATTCACGCAAAGCCGTCCGCAGCCTGGGAAAGCATCGCATCGAGAGGCCCGCTGGCCAACGTGGTTGGATTAGAAGCCACATCTCTGCAAAGTGGAGGATGTGGTTCCACAACGGCCTTAGACACAGAGGTCACTTCGCTGGAATGGTGGAGAACCACAGACGGGGAGACAGCGGGAGGTGAGCCGAGGGGCAGCCGGGTGGGACACAGCACAGTGTGCAAACCCACTGGGGTGGTCACATGACAGCCAGTGGTCACAACTGCCACCAGAACCCTGTCTGTCATACGGATCATTAACACTGGGGGGTAATTCATAGGGGTGACGTCGTTCCTTCTCTTCACCTCTGCCCTATTACCAGTCATATACGATTCTGCTGTTTCCTGTCAACCCAAGAACACCTGTCGAGACTCTGAAGCCAGGTCTGCTTGTTTCCCTGTGCTTCCTGTGTGCTGACACTGCTGTCTGCGGTTAAGCCCATCTCCACTGCTATATCCAGATAAAATCCCGTTCCTCCCTTCCCGCCCCAACCATCTTTGTTCACTTTCCCGCCAAAGTGTCACACAGTCGTGTTCCTGGGTGTTTGCCTAACAGATATCACAACTGAACATGCTAAAAACAGAATATACATCTACACAAGAGAGCATACTGAACATACAGGAGAAATTATTTGTATCAAATGCACTGCAGGATAAAGGTTTGAAAGTGATGTAAGAGATCAAACATCGGTTCATTTAATGTTATAATCGCCACCGAATGGAAAGCGACACGCGGAACTGGATAACGCAGATCATAAAAGCATCATACAGTATATACGACTGGGACCATCACATTATCTGCCAATTAAATATTTTTTCAGTCCGTCAGCTTGAAGTTGAGCCGCCTTTAATTAACTTAAGAGTTGCCTCAAAGACATTTTAATGGGAGGGCGTTAAAGACTCGTAAACAAACAAAGAGGAATGGACAGCTAATCCATAAGCTATTAATTAAGAGACGAATGCAGGGGATTCTCTAAATATCAGCCACTTTAAATTATTAAAATAAAGCGGACAATGGAGGTATTTATGTCGTTCTCTATGTTAACAAGCCGTTGGCAAAGAACACGTTCTCCCTCGGTTGAAAGCCGACAAGAACTGGGATTCATCTTTGACAACAATCCGAAGTACATTTATGTAATTTTTTTTTTCTAAATATATTAGGCCAACCGTTTGGGGGTAGTTATAGGGGCACGGGGTATTTTGGTATTTTATTACTGCCCCAAAGCGAGGAGGGGAAATTGTGCGCGGAAACGGATGCTCTTTTTGGAGAGCTGTGTCCGCAGCCTGGTTGGGACGCGAAGCTGCAGGCGCCGGGGCTCCTGCGAGTGGGAAGATTGTCTGATCCGAGTTATTCAGCTTCTGGAAGGGGGGGGGGGGCACACTGACTCCTCGGGGGTGGGAAAAAAGATCGCTTTGCTTTAGACGCTAGTGGCTATGGTATCTCCCACGCTGCCAGCACGTCCCACTGCCCGGTTTATCCGGGGCACAAACCTGCTGCGGCGCCGTGCGTGTAAAATAATGACGGTGCCACCTGCTCTGATAGATAAGGGCCGGCGAGGCGCCTCCATTACAGACGCGGTGGGGACGCGTGTTTACATGCGGCACGAACCGCAGGTCCCCACGCTGACCTCACACGCATATATACAAACCCACATGTAAACACTTACTCTGCCTCAAGTTGTCGCCATAAAACCACACGCATGTTTTTGTTTTTTTTGGATTGATAGTTATCAAACGGTGATAGATTAAATAAAACATTTTCTGCGTCTGTGGAAAACTGCGATGGCACCATCAGGAAATCCCAAAGTCCTGTTTGTTCCAAGGAAGGCTGCACAATCGTTCCCCCCACCTGGAACCCTGTATTAATCTGGTGATCCCTTGAGATCTGTTTTTCCTTCATTTCAGCCACCTTTGCAGTGCAGACAGCTCCGCCGGTATTATTCTGGTGCCAAGAGGCATGTGCACCTGGGCATTAAACACATTTACATTTTCCTGGCTCGGTACTTAAAGTGAAAATCCCTTAATAAATGCAGATTAAATTTGTTTTCCAAAGCCTGTTTCCCAATGAATCCGTAACGGGCAAAACCATGTAATATTAACACTTGGAGCCCGCAGCTGGTAACTGGTGGTTTCTTTTACATAAAGCTAGTGTGTCATAGTTTTATGGGTGACCTCCAACAATGGACAAGACGACTATGACAACAAATTATAAGACAGAGCAATTATAAGAGCGAATAATAGACCTCTGGGCATTCTCTTTTGAAAAGTACTCAAGAACATCTCCATAGCCTAAAAGTGCTTCTAAACACTTCAGCAAAAGTACCAGTTATGGTGCTTGGGGACCCAGGGAAGTGGAATGTTTTTCTTGATTGTGGCTGTTAGTGCCTTTTCTGATACTGGCTGAGGTGGGATCCCATCAGCAAAAGGTTGTGCTTCAGGCTTTATGTGGTTACTGAACTGATATGGGGCAAGGAACCAAAGTTCTAGATAATACATAAGAGCATGAAGCAACTGGTTAAGACACATATACAGTAGGAACTTGGGCTTCATACAGGGGCGGGGTCACAGGGACACTGGCTCCAGCTGAAAGCTGATTGGTTGCCAGAGTGCCCTCTTCCCTGTCACTCATCGATTCCAAACATATCATTGGCTAATGATAAGGTCAGCCCCTCCGTATGAATTTCGGCCCTTCTTATGCTCCCTTCCCACCCTTGCCTGAATGAAGCCTGTGTATTCAATATCATTCTGACTCATTGTGGAGGAACATGTCGAGGGAGAGGCGCTGACCTGAATCTCCACTCCGTAGCCCATGTAGACGGATATGGTGCAGGTGCAGTCCAGGCCGGGGTAGGACCATGCTTCAGGTTGTGCTGGCACCTCTATGTGGCCCTCTGGGGCGGTGAAGTTGGTGCTGCATGGAGCTGAAAAGACAAAGGCTGCTGTCAGGGTGGCGTACCCTCCCTGCCGGCTGCCCCGATCCACACCCGCTTGCCACCCAGGTCCCGTAATTCACTCTTACGTCCTTTCGATCTGGGTTGGGGGCCCCAATATGATATGCTTTCATGGGGCCCAAAACCTGTATCAGCGCCCCAGGGGCCAGTGGTTATTTTATCTTTCCACTCGACGGGCCCCTTAGCTAACCCTGTGGTGCTGGGTGGTGTCCCCTACCCCCCCAACCTCCCCAGCACTTCCCTGGCCTGGCACTCTTTACAGCCAGTTTGCCAGCTTCAGTCTCCACCACTCCCTTGACTGGTGCCAGGAAGGGTGGGGGAGTGAGTCACGGGGTATGGCAGGCAGGCGACCTAACGCGTACGTGCACTCCATTCTAACGGAGGATCGGGCCAGCTCACCCACTCCATTCTGCCCCGACACTGCCTCTGGAAGCAACTGCGAGTTTTCTATCCTCGCTCTCAGAAGGGGCCTGGTGGGTAAACTACAAATTAAGTCGGGACACAGCTCCCTCCTGCACTCAGAAATGCCACTTTTATTTCCCCTAACAAAAGGTGACTGAAGATCACAGGCTTCCAATCTCGCCTCCCCCGCTCCGTTCCAGGAGCACTTGATTGAGTGTGAGCGGAGCAGGAATACTGATGTAATAATTAATTTCGGGCCCGTGGCTGTTTAGATATGAAGGGGTATAAACAGACGGAACGGGAAGCGGCCTATCGGAAGCGCGGCGGCGCTCAGGAAAGCTAAGCCCGCCCTGCTTCACACAGCACGCAGGCTCGAATTTTTTCCGCCGACCGCACAAACAAAGGGCTGGCACGATATCGGCAATTACCTCCAGTCACCGCGAATCCCCACACGGCCAGTGGGGGCTGCTGGACCTGACACACATTAGGCAGGAGCTTGCCAGACCTTTCACACTCTCCTATAGCAATATGCTAAATATTTCTCTGTCAGTTCACAGAGCTGCTGCCGGGGGGGGGGGGCACCCAAACAACCACCTATGCCCCCCCAATAATAAGCACTACTAGAACAATCAAGACAACTTTTATCGTTGCCCCCGCCCTTCCCCCCATGGCATCCTGCTCTCCACCCTCCCCACCCGCATGGAAATCTTGGGCACATCTGTCAGATTTGTTCTGGCCACGACACTCAAATAAGATTTTTTTGTATTTTAATAGAAAGGCAGCTTTCCAAGGCTACAAGTGTTTTTCCTGTCATACAAAAGAGTTAAACAGTGCATTGTATATGTCTACCACGCCATGACTTAAAGATATATCCTTCAATATTTTAGCATAATTCAATCTCATAATTAAATATTACTTACAGGCTATACCTCAATATATGTTTGCTTTTATTTATACTCTTTTGTATATCATTTACAATATACTATTTACGTCATATTTGTATTGCATACACTCTGGAAATCACTCTTGTTGGATGTAACACAATGACAATACAACAATACTCTGAATCTCCGAATCTTAAAATCAGATTTCAGTTATTTTAACTGAGGAGCATAAGTGCATTGTTGTGCAAACCTGGTGTCTGTGCAGTTGTGATGATTGTGGTGGTGATGATGGTGCTGGAAATCGTTTCGTAATCCACATCTCCCGTGGAGGATGATGTCACCGGAGTGACCTCATGGCGGGGGCCGTCCCGTGTTGCCGTGGTAACCTTTGCCGCCAAGGTGGTCAGGGCCGAGGGACTGGCAGCAGCCTGGGTGGTTTCGCCGCTGCTGGGATGAGGGGCAGCAGAGGTGCGCGGGACAGGTGTGGTGAGGGAGTTGGTGGTCCATCCCTCCTCCAGCCTGCTGGTGGTTCTCCCACCGTGGTTCAGGAGTGCAGCTTGGGCAGCCAACCCAGGCAGGGCCGGGGAACTGGGGGCCACACTCACCGTAGGAGAGGTGGCCGGCCTGCCGGCCAAACTGTAGGCTATGTCGGGGAAGTCTCGTGCCTCGGGTGGGGCCAGGTGGGTGGGCGGCTCTTTGACAACGCGGGAGCTGGAGGATGGCTTGGTGGAGTCCCTTTCCGACCCCCCGTCATCCTCAAAAAAGTGCTTCTGGCCCCGGAAATCCTTCGTCAGCAGGGCCTCGGGAAGCAGGTACTCCTTCAAGAGCGGGTGGTGGTTGGGAATGTTGATGGGAGGGGCGGTTGTAACCACGTGGACCTCTCTGTCCGTGTCATGGGTGGTGGGGACCAGGCCACGCCCCCTCTCTTTTTCCATGACATCCGCATCCAGAGTGACAGCACCCCCCTCCTCAGGGAAGTAACCTGCCAAAAGATACAGGGACACACGTGATCGCCGTCTACACTCACAGCTGAACATCTCCTAGTTCTCTTTCATTCCTTTATTCCTTTAAGAACCACTTCGGAGCATTAAACGTGAAAAGTCAGAACTCAGTTCCACTTCGGTATAACTCGGAACCGCTTCCATACAGGGTTCACCTTGTGTTTTTGTGTGGAACATCTCTTTCTTCCCGTAAAGTGGGGGAACATCGATCGGAAGCCGCTGTTCAAATACACAAGCTCTCAATCCCACTGTGATTAAAAAGCAATTTAAACACCGGGTTAAGCACCTTAGCCAATGAACAAAAGAAAAGCATAATGCCACAGTAGATGGATTAGAGCGAGAGACCCTTTCAAAAAGCCGGCCAGCGCGTGAAGCCAAACAGATAACCTGCCCCAAGATAATTGCTCATTTGAATACATCTTCTCCTCCCCCTTGCCAATTATTAAAAGTAAAGATTTAGCACAGAACCGCCTTAATTAGCAAATATGATAGCGGTACAGGAACATAAATATCTCCACCTGCACCTGGTAAGATAAAAATCAGAAGCCCTTCAGGGATCCGCGTCTTGGCAGGGGAAGTGCTGATTTCTCCCACAATGCCTCATTTCCGCTCTAATAGCAGTCTCTCAGCGTTAATAGCAATCTGCTTCAAACAACAGCGCTCACAGTACAAACACACTCTTCGGCAGGCATCTCTTGCAGCAGGCAGCACAAATTGGTTAGTCCTTCAAAAAAAACAAAAAAAAAAAAGGGAAATAAAATCCCTGCAAAGGAAAAGATGATAGCTCAAACGACACAGAACAGCGTTGACTGGTTCCTGCACCCCCCCCCCCCATTTCCAATAGGAATATGGAGATGTTTTTAGTTTTTTTGCTCTCGCAAAGTGTCAACCACAAACATGGGTTTTGTTCCCTAGAGAGCTTTGTGAAATATTGACTCTGACTGGGATTAATATGAATCTACATTCGATACACCCACAAAAACGACGTGTTTCGACGTGTTTCTTACATCCCCAGTGCCCGCAGACATCCGTCATCATCAACATTTCATGCGGGCGATCATAGACGGTGCATCATCGTTAGGTATAATTAAGATTTTAGCACTGAAAACCAACTGGTATGGAGGACCTCCGTCTGTTGGGCCTGACAGAGGAACTGGAGCATTCCGGCTATCGTGATTTTTCTGGGTCGGTGGGGTCCAATTCGGAAAACAGGGAGGAAACGCTTCAGAGCGCGTTTTCTTGACAAATCGATGATGAATCCCCGACGATGGCGGCAGAACGCACCTGCAAAATATCCTCGGAAAAACGTCTGTTGCCAAGCGCGAGCCTGCATCCTTGCGGATGAACGACGTTAGACCGGCAAGTCGAGTTGTGAAAGCAGAACCACGCCGGCGGTATCCAAGGCCAATAAAGGACGGTTTCCCGGGATGCGAGTTCTAAAGGACGCGGTGACATTCAAGCAGATCTCTAATTTATTCTGGCCTTGAACATAACAGCACTTGTGAAGTGTGCAGATGGGAAAACTGGGAAAAAAAGCAATAAAGGAAACATCGTAACAAAGGGTTTCAAAATAAGAAAAAAAAGTATTTTCTAATATCCCACATCACGCCAGAGATGTCCCAGTTTGGGGTCTAACAGCACCACTGAAGCAAAAGCCGATTTTGAATGACAGTCACAGAACCGCTCAGAGACGACAGGTTCACAGACCACTGCTTCCAGAAAAATCTGATTCTGACGTCCTCCGTTAGAGCCTCAGGAATATATACATACTGCTCTTCAGGCCATTTAGAAAGCAGGATGTCAGTCCTTCACAAACCACCGACATGATCTGAGTTTTAAGTCACTTCAGCTTGGGCTGAGGGCTTTGGGTGTAGCCCGGAGAGTGAGAAACTTATAGGAGTGAGCCTAATACTTTACCTTCTCCACCTGTGTGTGTTTCAGTCTCCACAAGGTCAAAGATTTCATAAGACAGGTCTGGCTCATCACATTAACATTTGGGGCACGGAAGTAAAGTTCCCTAATCAAACTCAACAGAAACAGCGCAATCACAGCCACGGTCTCTTCTTAAAGTTTTACTCCTTCCTTTGACAGGCACTGAGGTGACAGTGCTTATGCCAGAACCAGTTAGCCTCCGATTACAGCTCCCTGATATCTGTTGTCAGTTTTCCTTATTAATCTGCAAAAGCAGAAGCCGAAGACTGATCATCCAGAAACTGTAAAGGACATCTGAGGAAAGCAGCTCTAAGAAGCAGACTTTGTGTGATGTGAGTAAAACGCGTGACCAATTTCAGCCATTACGGAGAAGCAGAAGTGGCAGTCTTGGGGCTTTTCTGGTGCTAGTTACGCTTATCTTTACAGCCTTTATGATCTACAGTATGTCCTGTGCCTAAATAAGCAACACATCGTCATTAATAAATTGTTATGTCAATAAATGTTAATATATTCAGGGAAAGGCTTTACTTAGAATTTTCATAATGCATTTCAATGCAATCAACCATGCATGCATAAGCATAAATAAAGTATGCATGTCTTATTCAAGGTTTTACAAACATTTTACACAGGGCATGCCTCATTAATGAAGGTACGAGAAAGGCAGAAGGAGCTTGATTGCATGGTATTTCTCACTTCCTGGATGAGCTGGCCTTGCCTCTGATTATTTTACGGGGCTGGAAGTTCAGTGACATCATCACCGCAAGTCTTTCACTCTGCTAAGCCTTCTGGGAGATGGTCGGTCTGCAGTTAGACATCTTACCTAGACCTACATTTACGTCTGCTTTATCAAACACTCGATGACTCTTGATGACTAACTTTTTTCCTGTTCTGAACCTCAAACTTCGTCAAACTGCTCAGCATTAAAAGACCTGGTATTCCTCTGGCTCACAAGTCAAGACGTGTGATATAAATCTCATTACGGCTCACAGAATTAATCAGCGATTTTGGTGGATCGAGCTGAATAGGAGGGTAACAAACCCCCCCCTCCCCCCCCAGGGAGTCAGGGATTGCTCTAAAAAGTTGACTCCATTGGGGAAATGCTCAGAACAGCAGGGACTTACATTTTCCATGGTGCCTGCCAAACGAATGATGCAGTGTCGATACGGATTCGGACTGCGGCAAGAACACTGGATGCTGCTAGGCCTCACAGGATTGCATACGTAAGCAGTATGTACTGAATTTCATTAGAAGCCTACTACTCAACCATTAATACAGTACATACTGCATGTATTAATGAGAACAGTATGCAGGCACTCAGACACACTACAGTTGCCATCTTGCATGTTACCTGATCTAGATATTTCCGGAATAATGACATAGCTTGCCCCTGTAAAAAATTTTGCAACAAATAAAATACATATTTGAGTCAACGTCTGTAGCAGCTTATTATTTTAGTTAAATTCATACAGATGGCATCTCCCATTGACAAAGGTTTCTGAGAAAGCAAAATTCTTCATCTTTATGTCTGGTTGCAGCTCCAGTGGCCTTGTGGGATAGCGTAGCATCCATTGGATGCACACTTGGGAATTTTACAGAATGTAGTATGTCATCCGGGTACCATTCACCTGCTGTCTCATCCGTACTGAGGACGGGAGCATGCTGCTCTCGTTGCATACTACAGTATATTTCACGTACTACATAGCAAACAAGTGTGCGATTTTGGACACATTTTCAGTCTGTTACCACATTCACTGGCCATGTGCAGATTCCTGGATGAGATATGTTCACCTCAGTCTCTAAAAATCACTCCAGTACTAGTTGATTAAACAAAGACACGGAGGCTTGAAAGACTGAATCAGGATTTTTGTTTACATATTAATGGCTGTGGCTTAAAGAAAAGCCAGTGTGCGGGTACTTTGCAGTCCACCATGCGGCTCAGTAATTACTTTTTGAGGTTTTGTATTTTTACCCGAGTGCCTGCTTTTCAAAATGGACACATCAACTTTGTCACTGAGCTCCAGGCCGGCTTCCCTTCAAAGAGCCGGGCAAACAAAGCCCCCTTTTTGCCTCCAAAGTTATTTTCAGATCAAACACCTCCAGAGCTCCTGGGAACCAATCATGCTGAAAAGAACAAATGTGCTTGACTCCCACTCCCTCGCGAGGTTGCGAAGCCATCGTGGAGGCCGGCCCCAGGTTGGCGTCTGGAGGGCTGGAGTTCTCATTAAGGGGCTGACGAAGACTGCAGCCCCCCCACCTCTGAAGTTCACCGGGGGGGGGGGGGGGGTTAGATTTCCAGCAGTCGTGCGAGGAAGGGAGGGCCGATCGCCACTTCTCAAGACTCCTCGCGGGCTAACGTGCGTGGAGACGCGTGAAAGTACGCCATCGGCATATTAGGAAGCCCTCACTTAATGTAACCATATTACATCTTCTCATTTGGCCCTGGCACTCATCAGAAGTGGCCGGGACTGGGGGCTGTTAGCAGGGATGAAATTAATGTATAATAACAGCCATCGCTTTGATCCTATGGCGCCCCCTCCAGGTATAGAATAGCTAGCCTGCATTTGTCAGGGAATTATGGTAGATTACAATTATTTCTTTTTCTATTCTTTTTCTATGAGCTTTTCTATTTCCTTTTGGGAGTAACAAAAGCGATGCTTTATGATGGCTGTGACAAAGACACACCGTGAAATACACCAGGACATGACCGGCTGTTTGCTTACCGCACGCTACATCCCGGGGCACTCATTTCAGCGTTGGGGAGCCTTATTGCAACCCCATAAAAATGATTTACAGTTAGAATTTTAACTCTCTTCGTCGGTGGGGAGTCTAGGTAGGGGAGGGGTTGTTTCTTCAGACTCTGCTCATGCAGGCTGTTTCTCTCGAAGGACAGGAACCCGCCCATCTTTAAAAGGAGGAGCAGGCTCGAGACAACTGGCCATTCATCCTGCTTAGCCAAGCACCACAAATGGTAAGCATGATGTCACAATGTCCTAATCGATGTTGCCATGCTGACAGACCCGAATCCAAGCTGCTGCGTGCGCAGGCCGCA